CTCATCTCGGGCGTCAAGTCCTTCAATGATCATGGCCTTTTTCAGCTTGACTTCCTTAAGTGAGGCGACATAACATTCTCTGGCTATGGTCTGCTCTCCCCGTACTGTCCTGACGCCCTAGTCAGTGGAAAACTTTATGGCGAGGTGGTAGGTTGAAGTTATAGCTTGAAAAGCGTTGAGGGCGGTGCGACCGAGGATGATGTTGTAGGCAGAGGGACAGTCGACGACAAGGAAGGTGAGTAACTTGGTAGTTTGCCGTGGGTATTCACCAATAGTGATGGGGAGGTCGATGGAGCCGATGGAGGTCACCCGGTTGCCAGTGAAACCGACCAAGGGGGTTTGGAGGGGGGATAGGCTTTCCTCCTCAATTTTGAGCTGGCGGAAGCAGCTCAGGAATATGATGTCTGACGAACTGCCGTTGTCGATGAGAACCCGTCTGACCTTATAATTGGAGAGAAGGGCAGAAATGACGAGGGGGTCATCATGAGGATAACGGATACCAGTACAGTCGGCGTCCGTGAAAGTGATGGGCTCTGTCCACTACTTGGGCTGCTTGGAAGGTTAGTCTACCGTGTCCACTGCTTTGTCCAAGCCTTGCCTTATTTTCCTGAGCTCTGCCTTCTGAGCGGAGTGGAATGGTCCGCAACAAGCAAGGCCACCAAAAATGACTCGGATTTCACCAACTGGCGGAGGGGGATTACCTGGGGGCTGAGCCTGTTGTGGGAGGCGGTCATGGCCTTGGTTAGGTTGGGCTGGCTGCCGAGGTGGGGTACGTTGGCAGTTGTTCCTGAGGGGCTCGGTTCTTTGCCTCTGTTGTGGGCGGGTGTCCGTGAACCGGCTGAGACACCCTTGACGAATGAGGGTCTCGACCTGATCCTTGAGGTTGATGCAGTCATCAATGTTGTGGCCATGATCCTGGTAGAAGCGACAATATTTGGACTGGTCTTTCCGGTTGGAAGGCGTCCGTGAAGACAGGGGCCATTTAAGAGGGTAATCCCGTTGGATCTGGTGGAGGACTTGTTCCATGGGAGAATTGAGGGGCGTGTATCGCTCGAACTGACCGGGCGGTCGGGCCGGTGCCAACCGGTCAGTGCGAGGAGGTCGGTCGGGATATTGGGGTATTTGGCTGTTATACTAGGTGTTTCTGGGTTTCGAGACTTTTTTCTTTTCTCTTTTCTCTGGGGGTCGGGTTTTTGGATATTGGATCTTGCCGAGCGGCTAGTGAATCTTCGGCATTCATATATTTCTGGGCTTTGGATAATAGGGCTGCCATGGAAGTCGGGGGGTTTTTGGAGAGGGAGAAGAGGAAATCAGACGATCGCAGCCCGGCCATGAAAGCCGTGAGGATGACCTTATCGTCATTCTCGGCTACTTGTAGGGCTTCGGTGTTGAAGCGGGTAACAAAGCTACGTAGCGACTCCCCCTCGGTGTGACGGATGTTGAGGAGTTGGGTTGTAGGGCGGCTTTGGCACTGGGCTCTAATGAAATGGCTGAGGAAGGAGTCGCTGAGATGCTGGAAAGTTGAGACAGAGTCCGCTGGTAACTGATTGAACCAACTGACCCCTTCAGTTTCATGGGGAAAGCCCGACACATAATCTCGTCAGAGAAGGCATGGAGGATCATGAGGGTACGGTAGGTCTCCAGATGGTCGACTGGGTCTTTCGTACCGTCAAAGGAGTCAATGGTGGGCATCTTGAACTTGGCAGGCAAAGGTTTGTCCCAGATGGAGGCAATAAATGGTGAATTTATGCTGAATGTTCTGCATGACCCCTTGGAGTTGAAGCTTCATCGCTTGGAGCTCAACATCCCAGAGGGGAACGTTGTCACCATGGTCAGTCAATAGAGGTTGGACGCTGCTGGCCTCCCCTTCAGGGGCTGGTGCTACGACCGACGGGTGTGGGGGTGGTGGTGGTGGCTTTATGTGTGGGTGGGGAGGTTGCAAACCTTCTAGGTTAGGTGGATGGAGTTGTGGAGCAGTATGGCTCGGGGTTCTTTCTTGGTTGGGGAGAATATCTAGAGGTGGTAGAGGAGGAATCAGAAGGTTCCTTTGGAGTAAAGTATTTATCAAGGCCTGGTTTTGCTCGGCCATGCGGTTGATGCTGTTGGTAAGCTCGATAAAGTACTGTGGTGGGTTGTTTGGATTAGGGGGGTCAACTTGATGGTCGGCAGCATTATTGTGAGAAGCCATAGATCTAGTCGTGACCATGCACTTTGACGGGTAGGAGAGAGAGGTTGTTGGAACGGGGTCTCCAGCGACAGTGAGCACAACTGACGCGAGGAGGAAGGCGTTCCCACAGACGGCGCCAACTGATAATGCTGTTCGTCCCAGTGAATGGATCGGGCAGGTCCAGGCTCCTCAAGCCCGAGTCCAAATGATCAAGTCCACCGGATAACCTGCAAGCAAGTTCAACGGGGAACGGGGTAGTCCCCCAGTGAACCCTCCGACGATCAAGTTAGGAAGAGAAGTAGAGTATATGGGGAGAGGATAGAGATAGAAAGCTTAACCTTTTTCTTGTCTACAACGTTTGCTTATATCCTTTGGTAATCATTTCGCTGTCCCTTCCGACCTGCTCTCCCCTTGCTCAGGGTAAGGGAGTCCTGTTCCGACGGAAAGGTGTTGTCTTAATAAATGCTGTGATGGGCTGCATTAATGGTGATGTGCAATGGCAATAACTTTGCAGATCTTTGTCTGCTGATGTGGCTCGTCCTTCTCTTTCCGTGTGTCTGAATGTCATTGGCTTTTTATGCCATGTTGGACTCCAGCTGTCCTGGACCTCACTAGCTGAGTTATGCACTAGGCTTCAAGTGATGGGCCATAGGTGATTCGTGGCCTTTATGGGCTTATACATATCAACTTCCAATCTTAATATATGAAAGCAAATTTTTATTTATAATTTTAATAATTATATGTGCAAGTAAATTTTTTTGTGGTTACAAACAAATAAAAAAATTGTAACTTATCGTTTTATCTATGAAATTTTTTTTTTTCAATGTAAGAAGACCTCATTTCCGAAGTGTCGTCTTGGCTCCTAAATCTCAGGATCGGCCCGGGCTACATCCAAAGCAATGCCCATAAACAAAAAACAAATTATAGTGTATATTCAAATTTAATGTTGATTTGGGTCACAACTCTTCAGACCATACTTTTTGTTTTTTTTTAGGCACCGTTTTGTGCACATTATTTTGGATCATTGTACCTTAAAAAATGAGTGTAATAATTAAATAAATAAATAAATATTGATGTCTGGCATAATTCAAGTTGCAGTGGCAAGACCTTATTGCGTCTCTATTAATTTCATCAATTTCTGGATGGAATTGTTAAGCTTTAGACAATAAATTATTGGACAGTTTAGCGTGTGTTTGGAAAGGCAACTTCAGGCTAAATTAGCCATGTCCCGACAAAAAAGGCTAATGTAGCCATATGGAGACAAAACAAAAATCATGGGCAAGTTCATACCCTGATTGGGGTAAATTTACCAAAATACCCTCACTGTTTTGAGCAAAACCCTAACCCTAATTCTAATCAGCTTTCTGTTGATGTTTCATCCATGGACACTGCCACAGCTGGCCCCACAACCACCGGCATCGCCATCGCCACCTGAATGGCCCACCACCGCCGCCGCCGCCGCCGCCTGCGGTGGCTGCTTACAAGGAATGTCTTAAGAACCACGCTGTCGACGGCTGCGGCGAGTTCATGCCCTCCCCCACCTCTATCTCCACCGACCCCACCTCGCTAAAATTCGCCGCCTGCGGCTGCCACCGTAATTTCCACCGCCGCGAGCCGGAAGACCTACCACCACCCTCCACCGCCCAACACGTCATCGAGTACCAACCGCAGCACCGCCACCACCCTCCGGTGCTACCGCGCAGTCTAAATTCAGCATCTCCACTGCCGATCTCCTTCGCCTACTATCCATCAGCACCCCACATGCTCCTCGCTCTCAGTGCCGGGGTATCGGGGCAAGTACCGACGGAAAATAGACCGGTAAATTCATCCGGAACGGGAAACCCAAATGGGCGGAAGAGACATAGAACGAAATTCACGCAGGATCAGAATGAGAGGATGTTGGAATTTGCGGAGAGAGTTGGGTGGAAGACGCAGAAGAAGGACGATGAAGTAATCGCCGTGTGCTGCAGCAATGTTGGAGTCGGCAGAGGCGTTTTCAAGGAATTAGAGAGAGAGAGAGAGAGAGAGAGAGAGAGAGAGAGAAACAACTTGAAGGGCAGTTTGCTCTTTTAACATGGAGACACCTCACCAAAAAGTCAAAAAACTAAAAAAATCAAAAAACCCTTCCCAAACCAGGCTTTTTAGCCCCGGGCTAAAATAGTTAAAAAAGTCAAAAAGTCAAAAAGCCAACCCACTTCCCAAACGGAGGCTTAGTCAATTTTTTTTTATTTTTTAAAAGAAATTTAATGATCATGATGTAAGTTTTTAAGGAGTTGACAAGAAGGTTCATATGGTTGGTGAAGCAGAGTTTACTTTTATTTTCATCAGGTTTCTTTCACACCTACCTACTACCTCTGTTCTTTACTTTCTCTTTTCATAGAGTGTGCCTTATCTTAAATTTAAAAAGTCTAATTTTATAGTGTGACGTTCTTAAAAGAGAAGTGCTGCAGACACCCAGTGGGGTCGCGTCCCTAGTGACGTGTCGCGTCCTACTGACTGAAAATTAAAAAAAAAAATAAATAAATAAATTTTTTTTTTACCCGATCACGGAGCTACACCTCATTGGGGGTCTGAAGCATTTTGCTTCTTAAAAATACCCATTTTAGGGAAACACTTCTAAATTATTTACTGAATTTTTGGAAATTATTTTTGCACAAAATTAAGAAACGATGAACATTTACAACCTCTTCGTTGTTTTTATTTCCAAAGACATAAAAAACGAAAACAAAAAATGAAACTTAGAGATTTGAAAGGGGTACCAAACAAAGGTTCAAAACATTAGAAGGTCAATTCAATTATGTTCAAAAACGAGTTGCAATCAGTATCACATTAATTTGAAGAGGGGGCAAAAAAAAAAAAAAAAGTTGCATAAATTCACAACCTCACTGTACATTTCATTTCCTGAGAACAATACAAATCTAACTGAACACATAATTTGTTTTGACATTAGATTAAGATTTGGTTTTATTCCTCATCTACAATGAAGTCAGGCTGTGCAGGGTCTGGTTCGAACCGCTTGCTTACCGATGCAGCCCTTCTCATGTTCATCAGCCTAGTTGCATACACTTCTAAGCCGGACCCTGGTTTGGGCACAAAAAAGTTCATTTCTTGGGAAATACTAGTCCTTGGCCTTTCTGATTCTGCAATATTGAGTTCATTTATTCCCTTTCGCTTTTTATGCCTACGCCACGCTGCTTGAATGAACGATGCAGCCCACGTTCGCCATTGATGAGAGTAAAACCGGAACTTATGTATAAGTTCTCTGCTATGCAGCCTACGAAACTGCGATGCCACGAAGATTAGATCTTCTGCAGTGAGTCTAAATGCTTCTACTTCAGACATAGCTTCTACTGTGCGTGTAGACGATGGGAGGACATCGCTGTGTTGCTGGTCTAGTGCCCAGTTTAGCAATTCCTCCCCACAGAAGTCACCGGGGCCTATTGATGATGAGTTGAAGAAGCCAGTGCGGCCACCGTTGGTGGTGTAGGAATCGAGGTGGCCACGGATTATGAAAAGCATTTCGTCAACAGGGTCGCCTTCTACAAGTAGGAATGTGCCTTTGATGCAGAATGCAGGCTTCAGCCTCTCGCATATTGCGTCTAGCATACGATCATCCATCTGATTGAGCAGTGGTACCTTTTCCCAGAAAAAAAAAAAAACAGAAAATTGACTCTAAAATTTCAAATTTTCATTGCCTCTAAAGTCATTTAAAAATCAAAATCATCAAATACCCATAAACAAATTCGCATCCAAATCCAAGATCTTTACTCAACTGATTCAAATTACTAAGATTACTAATACCCATCTCATAATTTAGATCAAGTTCTATACTGCAAGCTAAATCTAGATCAATAGGAGATGATTATGTTTCCGACTTACTTGCTGAACTAGACCGAGGCAAAGGTGGCGTTTGATCTCGCGTTGGAGGTCTGCAGGAAGGCTGTTGAGAAGGGTTTGTTCATCAACTCCTTGGGTCGCCACCCACTTGAACTGACCATATTTTCGCACAGACTCCTTTAACTCATGGGGTAGCTGCCTGTGATGCATCCATTGCTCTGTGTCGGTTCTTTTTAGCCTCCACTCTTCTAATCTGGCAGTTATAGATTGCAGGTATCGCTACCAGTGAAGTACAAAGTTAGTTAAGTTCTTGAAAATGACTTTGTCTGACAAATTTGTGAATACTAAGCATTGGATTATCAGACTTACTTGCATATTACTAATAAGAAGCGCGAGGAGAATCAGCCCAATAGTTGAATTGACGATGCAATAAATATTTTCCCCAGTAAAAATGCTCGAGGTAAAAGTCTGTCCGATAGAGCTGCACAAGATGAAAATTGCGCATTGCTTGGTAAACCATTCATCTCTATGAAATAGTATAGTTTGTTCTAGTACTACCTCATATATTACAATGTTTCAGGTGAATATTTGTTAACATAGTTTTTTCGTTTTGTCTTATTTGTTTGCAAAATTGTTGGTAAGAACATGAAGAGCATAGGTTTTTCTCACTTTTACAAACTGTTTTTACCTCAAGCCCTGGATTCCAATCCAAATACAGAAGAAGAACTTGTGCAAGAAAGACGAGGACGTAGCGCCATTCGTCACTGCAAGCCCGTATATACCCCAGTTATAATAACTGTTACTGGGATTACACAGGCTTGTGACATTAGTTGAGTTGAACCAGTCACTCCTGCCTGGGTCATTAACACTCCGGCAGTCAAAAAACCCATACTTGCAACCTGTTTCTTGCTCGCATACGCTTCTCCAGCACAATTCTTGTCGCTCTACGCTTAAAAGAAAGTAACAGGCACCAGAAACCTTTTCCAAAACACAAAAATTAATGAAGAGGACATAGAAAGGTTGGGTTAGGAAATTTATCAAACACCATGAGTTCAGTTTTGAGTGACTCACATAGCTTGCCAATAAGTAGAGCATCATGTTGTAAGCAGCCCCAACCCAGGCTGTTTCGGATGTCATGACGCCGGTGGCATTGACAATTTGTGATGAAAGTGGATATATGAGAGCAAATCTTAGAAAATATTGTAGCATGATGGTGAATCTGAGTACAATGTGAGAGTGGGCAGTCACTGAATCAGCTGAATTTGGTATGATCGCCCAAACTAGTATCTGAAATTGCAACCAAAAAAAAAAAAAAAAAGGGTGTTTAGATAAAGAGTAATGAGACATAGCTTATCATAGAATCCGATCACATAATCAAACACATCTTTCACATGGGTTGTGTCCCGTTTTGTGATCGGACTCATTTGTTAATTTTTAGGCTGTGTTTGGATCTTTTTCTTTTCCTTTCCTCTTTTCCCTCTCTTCCTTGTGGGTTGTTGGAGAGTGGTGAGGAGATAGAAATGAAAGCTTTTAAGTACAGAGTTAAACGAAGCACCTTTGACAGTTCAGATGTTTTTATAAATTTCTAAAAAAAAAAAATAACAATTTAATAAATCAATAGCAATTAAACAGAGAAGATACAATTGAAACAAGAAAGCAATTCAAGAAAAAGCATTGAACTTGAAGACATGCCTGTGGAAGTGGTATTGCAGACATGAAATCGACCCAAAAGCCCTTAACAAGGTACCGGTAAGCGATCTTCCAAGGGTCAATGACAAGCTCTCCTCTCCCAAAAACACGAGAGGAAGGCGCAATGTAGGCTGTTCGAAGCTGGACAGCAATGTGAATTATGTAAAAGATATCCAACACTGATCTCACAATTGTCAGTACTATTTGAAGGGACATCCTGGTTTCAAAGCAATAGTCCGGTTCAGCCACTGGCAAGTAAAGGAAAAGAGGGTCGATGAAAAGAGAAACTAGGCCTACTGCAAAGAAAAAATTGTTCCATTTCCCAACAGCTGGTCCACGAGGATTCAAAATCGATCTTTTCACTCCTTTGTAGTCCTCGGGGAAGACCATGGAGAGTGCTTTAGTGTCAAAGCACCTTCCTGTCATCCCACACATATCCTTGTTCTTGGCGTTCTGCTGTAAATGCTTAATAGTCCCACTTTCTTGATCAAATGTAGTCCGACGGCTTTCAACCTCAAATTCATCTTGGACTCTGGGGGAGGGTTGGAAAAAAAGAATGGTAAAGAATTTGATTTTGAAAGCAAGAACAAAAACAAAAATAAAAACAGATTATAGGATTTAGGACAGACCTTAAGTCTCTTGAATTCCTGCACCTCATTGAAGATTTTCTCTAAACTTTTTGCAGCAGATTCGATCAGAAGACACAATCCTCTGCTTGAGGAACTCAAAACTTCATTAACCTCCGACCATTGAAACACATGTGGCCATATTGTTCAAGTCATAATTGTTTAATAAACGTTGGGATTGTTATCTGTTGTATAAGCACATCAGCAAAAGATTTTGATGTTTTTAAAAAGCAATTTGAAAAAAAATAAATAAAAATAAGGCCTATAAAGAGCAGTTATATCTATGACTATGCATTATACTTTTGTTTTAGATCCTCCTAGAATTTCTTTAAAAAATCGTTAATCATAACAAATTTTTAAAGTTTATACACAAAACATTAAAAATTGATACTGTATTAGTTGATTACTAGTTGTTGGGAATGATGCAATTTTATGTATTATGCAGTTAACAACCTGCCTCAATTGAGAATTTTTCCTTTACAGGTGGCAATTAACTTTAGTATAACAACATTAAAAACTGATAATCTTAGGTTGACTAACAAATATTTAATACCAGGATGCGTGTGGATTACGCCCATTACAGCAGACCTTAATACCCCACTTGTCCACGTTTGTTGAGTCATGATTTTGATTAACATATAAATTTTTTTGAAGTTGCTTTCTTGCAGAAAACTCATTCCCAGGTAGTGATACTGAATGAAAATGATCATTTCAATATAAAACTAAAGGTCAATTATGATGTTTTTTGCACATTTTTGTTTTATGGCCTCAAATAACCATAGATATTATTCCTCACACACCCAACCATCACTTTACAAAAAGTAGCATATGCTAACCGATGCACGCCAAGATTTAAAAATAAAAATTAAACAGAGACTGGCTTGGGATAATAACATAGAACTTCTTAAATGGCTATATCAAAAAGTCTTTATCATATCTATATATTATAGATGTGAGCAACTACGTAAGCTCATCTTGATCATTTTGTGAAGTCAAAGATACTTCAAATTATTTTTTTCTCAGAAGGTATGTGGGGTAGAGGGGATCCAAGGAAGGGTCATGGACTTATGGTTAGGTCCAAATAAAAAAAAAAACAATGGTTCAATGAATTCGTTTTGTTTTTGTTTTTGTTTTTTTAATCTTGCTTGTTGTTACTGACTCTGTCATAATAAGATACTAATTTGGAGTATAATACAAAAATAAATGATTTTTTCACTAATCACAAGGAATATGAAGCCTACCTTGGGCGAGCACAGCATGTCATGAACAGCATATTCAACACGGGAGATTTAGCTCTGACACGTTGCGCGGTGGTGGCATTTTGGGAAGGAAACTTATGCATACCAGTAACTTTACAGGGAAAAAATACCATTAAATGCATAAATATGATCTGTTTGGCACATCTGTATAAGAATTTGAAAACTAAAGCAGCTTTCTAGTAGCCGAAATCTAGTAAAACTGTTTCATCCAAACTGGGCAGTCCCAACTTTATAATTACATTTTTAGTTGCAAATTGTAAGCGGCCATTCTTCTTCTTCTTCTTTCCCTCATTTATGCACATACATACACATGTGACCGCGTACAAATACAATCATTTAAGCTTATTACTCTGCTTACTGATAGTTCCACAGAGAATTGCCATGACAATATTAATGGACATATTAATTTAAATGACCTACACAACCTTACGGTCCACATTTCTTTCGTTCATTCCTCGTTCTCATCATAATTGAACTCATTAGGCCTCTCTCCACTCTCCTCAGACTCAAAACGCTTGCTTCCGCCCATCCTAATGTTCGTTATCAACCTCGCTGCATAAACTTCCAAGCCAGACCCGGGTTGTGGCACAAAAATATCCATCTCATCGAACCATCTTCCACCATCTGTGGCATTGTGATGGGCTAATTCCTTGCGCTTTTGATGTCTTCGCCACACTGCTTGCACATAGCAAGCTGCCCAAGTTCTCCATTGGTGAGAGTAAAACCGGAATTTTTGTATCAGTTGTCTACTATGAAGCATCCTAAATTGCAGTGCCACAAATTTCAAGTCCTCAGAGGTGAGAGCAAATGCTTCAGTCTCAGAAATGGCCTTGACCGTGCGTGTTGACGATGGGAGGACACTTCTTGGCCCATCAAGTGCCCACGTCAGCAATTCCTCCCCACAGAAGTTTCCTGGACCTATACGTGACGAATTGAAAAATCCTCTCTGTCCTCCATTGGTGGTGTAGGAATCAAGATGGCCTCGAATGATAAATAACATTTCTCTAACAGGGTCACCTTCGCGAACCAAAAACGTGCCTTCAGTGTATAGTGCCGCTTTCAGCCTCTCGCATATCCCATCTAGCATTTTGTCATCCATCTGATCAAAAAGGGGAACCTTTTTTTTTTTTTTTTTTTTTTTTTGAGGACCCTTTTTCTAAATTATACAAAAAGTACTAAAATTACAATATATATATATATATATATATTCTCTCCTTTTTTGGTTTTTATATCACTTACTTTTCTAACGAGATTGTTGCATAGGTGATTGTTGATTTTCCTTTGGAGATCCTTAGGGAGGGCACTGATGATGGTTTTTTCTTCGACTCCCCGTGTCGCCACCCACCTATATTGATCATACTTTCTAACAGATTGCCTTAGCTCTGGAGGTATTTGCCTGTAATGCATCCACTGCTCAGTTTCAGTTCTCTTCTGCCTTGATTCTTCTAACCGCAGTGATGTTGATTGGAGGTACCTCTGCCAATTAAGCACAAAAAATTTCAATGTGAGATCTAGGATTTGTGATGAAAAAAGTGCACAATTTTCTCGGATAGTGAAATTTCACTGTCAGAAAATTTGCAGAGACTCTCTGGTACAGTGAAATTTCACTCTGCAAGGACAGTGAATTTCACACAATTAGTATACCAATAAATGGTGTGATGTGTAAAGGCAAGACTCACTTGCATATTTCCTACAAGGGCTGCAAGAAGAACAAGCCCCAAAACGGCAACGAGGTTGACAAAGATATTCTCTCCGACATAGCCAGTTGTCGCGAGATTATTACCTATAGATCTGCAAACCGAAAAGAAAAGAAAATTTTGCAGATTAGGATGTGCAGAGAGGGAGTTTCAGCAAAAAACAGAGAAAAAAAAAAAAAAAAAAAACATGAATGAGATAAGTCGAAGGAATTTACGTTAGGCTCTGAAGTGCCCAATAAAAACAGAAAAAGTACTTCTTGACAAACACTTCAGACGGCGCGTTATTTAATAGTCCCAAGGCATATACTCCATATTCATAATATGTATTGCTTGGATTACATAGAGTTGAAACATTAGTTGCTGCAAACCAAGCACTCCTAGTAGTGTCATTGATCGTATTGCAATCAAAAAATTCATATACACAAGGCGGGTTTTCAAGATCACACACACTCCTCCAACATGCTTCTTGTCGTTCTATAGTTAGAAGGTACCAACAAGCACCTGAAACCTGTTTTAAGCACAAATTGACATGAGTGCAGAAAAAACAAAAACAAAAACATGTATTGGTATTTCTGATAATGTGGTTGCGCCTACATTGCTCGCGATATAAAAAAGCAGCATGTTATGAGCAGCGCCCACCCACGCCGTTTCAGTCATTTTTCCAGTGTCTTTGATAATCTTCCATGAGAGAGGGTATAGAAGAAATAGTCTCAGAAGGAACTGTGCAAGGGGGATGCACCTAAGGGCGATTTTTGAGTTTGAAGACACTGAACCGGCCACATAAGGGATGATTGCCCAATTCATAACCTGAAATTTTGGGGGAAGAAATTAGTTGTTTCATTAAAACAAACAATACATTGATCACTAAAATATCTCCCTTGAACACAGAAAAGACATGTTGAAAGATTTTCTTGAATGGAGAATCTGTTTGTTTTGCAAGAAAATTTGTGTTTGTGTTTGCATTTTCCTCCATGTTCATTTTGTCTCCAAGAAAGCATAGTTAAAGATGTGAAATTGGGCAACATTAAGAAGTTTGTCATTGAAAGTTGGTCTCTTTTTCTACAAATCTTCTAACAATCAAATAAGGCTTTGAAATTAAGGCAAGGTGATATAAATCAAAGTCAATTATCAGTAGAAGATTTTGAGTTTGATATGCCTTCTCAAAATTTTTGTAATGGAAAGTTTAACCAATACATAATTGCAATAGAAGTACCAAAAATGAATATCAGAGCATGGTTTTAATTAATGATATCAGATACGTATCAGTCTCAACAATACAGTCATATATCAGCCAATAGAAGACAATATCTATCTCTGATATATCAGAAGTCCAAAATGGAGTAGTCTGGACAATGGCAATACATGCATGTTGGTATTCAAGAAAGCCAGTATCAAAAAGCCCATATGAGAATTGACAAAATCATGAGAGAGGAAAATGTTCTCAAATCTGGTGTTTTCAAGAGACTCCAATGGATTGACAGAAATCACTTCAAGTTGCATTAAACACCCAAAAAACTTTAAAAAGACTAAATTTTAAAAATTCTCAAAACACAAAATAGAGCTGCATACCTGTGGAAAGGGAAGAGTAGCCAAAAGATCAATCCAAAATCCCCGGTGAAGATACCGGTACGCTATCTTCCAAGGATCAATAACAAGCTCTCCCCTCCCAATCACACGCGAAGAAGGCGCAACATAAGCTGTTCGAAACTGTACTAAAATATTGATCACATAAAAGAGATCTGACAATATTCGCAAAACTGTCAAAATCACTTGGAGTTTTGATACAGAGGCCTCAATGCACAAGTCAGGGGTCATTTTTGGCAAGAACAAGAAGAGAGGATCAACAAAAAGTGAGATCATGCCGGCTGCTAAAAATAGCTCGTTCCAGTGCCGCACCACGGGGCCTCTGGGATCAAGAATTGATGTTTCTATTAACTGGTAGTCCTCGGCAAAGACCCGGGACAGGACTTCACCTTTCAAGCAGCCTGGTGTGAATTCATCTCTATCTTTCTTGGAAACTTTGTGTGTGTGTTTGATGATACCATCTTGCTTGATTCCTGTGGGACTTTTGAGTTCAATATCATCTTGGACCCTGCAAAACAAAAATTTGAAAAAGCATGGAAAACATTAATTTGTTTTGATCATATCAACAATTTGTGTTTTGTGTAAAGTCAGGAATTGAGAAAACAGGATAAGGAATGGCAGACCTCATGGATTTGGAATTTCGGAAAGTCAATAGTGATTTGAGGAAACTCATTTTTGTGGGTTCAATTCAATCTTGTATCAGAGATTACTTGTTTTGATGAAATATTAGAAGCAAATTTTTGATAAACAGAAAATAATTTAAAAAGAAAGAGTTGAGTTTAGAACCCAAGACAACATTTTAATTTTCACTAGTAAACATGTGAAAATATAATATAAAATTCTTAACTGTCCCCAAGTGGAACCCATACGACTTGATGAAATATGGACAGACCTCAATTACAAGAGGCAGTTAGAGACTAGAGATTTGTTAGAGGATATTATAGTTCAGATAAATTTTAATAATAAAAAAAAAAATTGAAATTGGGAAAGCAATTCTTTTAAATTCTGCATATAGATTATCAATTTTAAGTTAGAATAAGCTGTATAAACAGAACTAATATATTTGGCTAGAATGATTAAGAAACTGTGAGCCCACATGTTTTGCTATGGTGGGATCCATTAATCCTCATGTTTCTTATTTAATATAATTGGGTGTAAATTGTTTTAAAGGGTTAATTATACCAAAATCCCTCAATGAAGTATTAATTTATATTCTTCATCTATAAACTTCCACGTTTTGATTTCAACTGTAAAAATATATCACTTTCATCATTTTAAACCATTTTCAAAAGGGGTGTATTTATATAATTTTAATAGTTCGTGTGATGAATATGTATGTGTTTATAGATGAGACCAAAAGAAGTGATATTTTGGCCAAGTTTGGCATCTACTAAATAATATAAAAAGTCAAAAAGTCATTATCCTATTTAAGTCATATCATCTTATTTAAATCACATCACCTCTCTAATACATCACATCAAACCCAACCCAAACCCAACCCATATAAGCCAATAAGCCAATAAGTCAAAAAGTACACTTTTTTAGAACATCCCAACCCAACCGTTATAATAGTTGATAGCGGTAATGGTGGAATTAACTCCATTTTTAATAACAATTAGAATTGATAAAAAGTTTTTGGTCAACAAGTAAACTCTCCAAGATTGTCATCCGCCGACTTCGAAATCAGCCATGTCATCACCAATACCATTCTTTTTTTTGTGGGTAATTATTTAGTAATTCCAGAATATAGAGATGTGGCACTCTATAATATTATAATTGATGGAGAATGTGGTAAGTGAACTATTGTGTTAAGTGATTAAGAAACATGAGGGCATAATGAATGATGATTGATTATAGAGTACGGACACTTGAGAAAATATTTTATAATTTCTCTTCTTTTGCTGCTATTCATACCCTAACCCAACCATGTCATCCTCCTTAAGATTCTAGTTCTGGTTCTCTCAATTTTAGTCGGCATTTCAAACACAAACCCTGAAACCTATTCACGATTTTTTGCATCCGTAGATCGGTTAGGTTCGGAAAGGGAGAAGAAATAACACTGACAACCCCTGAGGGTTTGTTTTTAATACAAATTCCCTCCACGTTACAGAAATTACACTATACCAATTACCTCTGCTGGTGTTTTAACAGAAATAAAATGATGGAAACATACAATGAATGACCACAATACCCCGCACTAACTGTGTAAAATTGCTATGTTGCCCTATACCAATTACCTCTGCTTCTTCTGTCCTCATCTCGCTTCATTTCTCCAGCAGTGACGTTACAGAAATTACACTATACCAATTACCTCTGCTGGTGTTTTAACAGAAATAAAATGATGGAAACATACAATGAATGACCACAATACCCCGCACTAACTGTGTAAAATTGCTATGTTGCCCTATACCAATTACCTCTGCTTCTTCTGTCCTCATCTCGCTCATTTGCTGCTTGTGGATATAATATTGTTGGTGGAAGTGGTGATTGGTGGCTGAGCCCATTGTTGCTACTGTTATTAATGGGTTGATTTTCTTGTGATATTGGTGTTTGGCATCAAGAATTTTGATTAAAATAGTTAATAAAGACAAAAATGATTAAAATAGTTAACAAGATAAAATGTTATATTTTATACATCAATCAATTATTTTTTTGGGAAATTTACCAATAAATCCTACATGTTGATATTATAATCCAATTAGTCCCAAATATTTTTTAATGCTCCATTTAGTCCTGTTTGTTGTGAAAGGACCCAATTGCCATTAGTATTTGTGGATTGTTTCTTGTGATACGTCGCTTGCGCGTGTGGCACAGATGAGCTAAAATGGCATGAGATTTGTCACGTGTCACACAGTTAGCTGTCACGCACGCGAAAAGTTTACTAAGGGTTTTTGTAGAGAACGTTTGTGGTTTTTGGTTGCCACGTATTCCACATATTGAAACCCATACCCATTAAAAACACAACCCGATTTCAGCATCCACATCCCCACACACAGTTAAGTGGAAACGTAACATAGTAAACCCTCGTTTTTGCGATTTGCTTGGATTTCGAAATTGGGATTGACCATATATACCGTTCGCGTGATTTGGGGGGAAATTATAAAGATTGAGTGTGCAATTTCCGTTTGTTGCTGTGATTAGTTGGGCCACTGTATTTGTGACAGGGCAGATCGTGGACGACGACGAAACCCTAGTGTTCATATTCCGCAGTCCTTGGTTGTGGGTGTATAGTTATGGCCGACAATGGTATGTACCATATCTTTATGCTGTCAGCGTTGTGTGACAATGTGGATTGTGAGTGTTTGATTATTCGGTTTGATTACCCGATTGCAGTTGGCTTTTTTTTTTGCAATCTTTATTTTGGGGTTGTCTGTGTCGTTGATTTGTTATGTGTGTTGTGATGCTATTTTTGTGTGTTGGGGTGGGTTGGTGTTGGTGATGTTGTGGGAAAGGTTGTACTTGGTTGTGGGTATAGGGTTTGTGTGGGGTTCTTGTGTGTGGCGTGTGTCGGTGTAATTACTGACAAGTAGTTGGCATGGGGGGACGTAAAATTTGGTTGGGACCACACAAGTGGAAGATAATGATGTGTTGTGTGGCTGGGATGGGCGGGGTTGTGCTTTTTTTTTGGGGTGTGTGTTACTTTCTGACGTTGTTAAGGGTTTTTTTTTAGGGTTGTGTTTGTGAACGTAATGAACATATGTGGGGTGTGGAGATGTAGGATGTGTAATGGTGTTTTGTTTTTATTTTTTGTTCTGCGTCCTGTTGCTGGGATTTGTGAAACGAATTGTGAAGTACCTGTGAGGTGCTGATGTGAATGACTGTCGTGTTGCTTTTCTTTGTGGGACGAGTGGTATGTTGGTGTTAAATGCGTGTCCCGCAGTTTTGTGGTCTGTAATATGGGTGTGGCGTAGAGTTGAAATAGTGTTGTTGACAGTACTAATGCTAGTTATGTTGGTTGTGTGTAACTTATGTACGGTGTAAAAGGTGTGTGTTTTAGTTTTTTGGTGCATGACATGAATGATAAGGGGTTGGTGTTATGTTTGCGAGGCGTATCTGGTTGTTTGTCTGTGTTAACTGTGGTAATTTTTTGTTAATGCTAGTAACGTTGGTTGTGTGTAACTTATGTATGGCGTAAAGGGTGTGTGTTTTAGTTTTTTTTGGTGCATTACATGAACGATAAGGGGTGGGTGTTATGTTTGTGAGGCGAATCTGGTTTTTTGACTATGTTAACTATGGTTTTTTGGTTTTTGTTGGCAGAGTGCAGAAGGGCAAGTAGTCCGTGGACACGTTCATGTGAACGGAGAAAGGCTGATGATGGTAATGGTTCAAAGAGAAACAACCTGGGTGTGAAAATGCAGGGGCGCATTTTGTTTAAGCAGTCGAAAAGGGTGAACAATGCGGTTGGACGAAAAGTGGCTGAGGATATAGTAGCACCTCCGCAACAGACACACACGCGGATGAACTTTCGTTCGAATGTTGCTGGGATAGTTAAACTTGTGCGGGAGGCAAATTTGAGGGACGCACACTTGAAACAGTTATGGAAAACACCATTTTGGATTATGATCGAGGTGATACACATGAACAATTTGAACCATAATGAGTTTAGGAAGTGTGATGATCTTATATCCAAAATTATAAGATCATACAATCAGCGAGATAATGCATTCAACATTGGAGGTGTCAGTGTCAAATTCGGGAGCAGCGACATCAGGTTAATATTTGGTTTGTAGTGTGGGAAACGGCGTTTAGATTTGTCACCCGGTCAGCGGCCAGTGTCGGACTTCATTCAACGTAGGTGTCGTGACACTTCACGCCTGACGTTGAAGTTGGTTAAAACGTTATTTTTAGAGGCTTTGAATGGCCAAAAGAAACAAGATGAAGAAGACACAGCGAAGTTGTTGGGGCTGTACATGTGTGGGAAGCTTTTTTTCTCTAACTCTGGGGAGACAATAAGTTGGGCTTTTGTGCGCTACATGAACGACCTGAGCACCGTTAGGATGTATGATTGGACTGGAGCTATACTGACAACATTGATGGCGTCAATCAAGGAGTTTCATCGTACCCCAGGGAAGGTGACAGGCTGTGTGGTTGCGTTGCTGGTATGTGTACATTTGGACAGTAGTTAGTTATTGAATGTATGCAATTTTTTTGTTTTTATTTTTGAATCAATAAATGCCTGATTTATTGTTTTCTGTTTTGTTGTTCATGTAGTATTGATTTTGTGAACTTTCGAACATAGTGGAGCCTCAAACCGACAACATGTTTCCGAGGTTCCTCAAATGGGACATTGGGGCATTAATGAATAAAATTCAAGGGGTGGATTTGGCTGGTCCAATTGGTTTTCAGGTAACTTGTTGCGTTGAGTTATGCACTTTATTACTGAAGTTTGTACTAGTGTGAATAAGATGTAACTATTTATTATGATGAGTTTTAATTATTTACAGGTTAAAGTTGACCGTCTGAGGTCTTTTGATTATGAACGTGAAGTTATGGGCACAGACATTCAGACGGAGGAAGAAGGTTTGGCAGATATCAATGGCGGAGGTGAGGATTGTGACGGTGTGGACGAGCATTTCATGGCAGAGGGGACGGGAAAATATGCAAGTGCTGACCAGGTGGTGCAGGGCCGCAACATTGCTGTGAAACGGTTCACAGAGCATGTGGATCGCAATTCCGGTATTGAAAGGGATAGTAATCACAAATTAGAAGAGGCACTAATTGCAGTCGCAGAGCTTGAAATGCAAAACAAAAAGAAAGACAAAATGGTATCGTCACTTGAAGAAGAAGTTGTTGGTTTGAAGAGGAAGATGGAGTTGCAAGCCGTTAACATAGTGGGGGGATTTAAGTGTGTGGTGAAGATGAAAAACGATGAG